AATTCAACTCTTCGCCTTGTGTCTGTCTAGTCTTGCTGATGAGTCGGCTTTTCTCAGAGACGAGCTTTTCCTTATCTTTCTTTTGTCTGTCACGAAGAAGTTCGAGACGCCGCGCTTGCATCTGGCGTTTGGTGCCGCTTTTAGGTTTCATCCAAGAATAGCACGGTCATGGCGCCGCTTTTCAGCGTCGAGAATCGCAGAGCTCCGTACAGCTCGCGCGCAGCAGCGCTGCAGATCGAGCCGCCTCGCGCAATCAATCCCGCTAGGTTCGTAGCTTCCGCAGCCACCGCCTCTCATCTTTCTACAACAATGCTCGAAGGCGAAGCATCAGGAGCGGCGACGTCACCTCCCCAGCTCATCCTACCAAGAGACGTACCCGGGAAAGTGCAAGGCGCTACTCTGCGAAGCCATGGTTTCGCGTCGGAAGCTTTGCGCGGAAATTTTACGCTGTTAAGTCGTAGTTTAGCTGAGGAAGTGACGAGTCCGCCTGCTGAGACAGCAGCAGTAGCAGCCGCCGAAGCTGCGGAGTTTTATCGGCAAATGGCAGCAGACGACAACTGGCGACGAATAGAGACCCTCTTTATCCTTCTAGTGGCTTTGTCGTCACTATATTTCAGCCGAACCGCTGCTGTTTTAGCCACGTCAGCAGTTGTTGTCGCATCGTTGGTCATCCAGCATCGCACATCAATCCGACGAAGGACGCAGATTTGCAACCGAAATCCGCACGCGAAGGCAGCCAGAGTCCCCAGCTTCGCTTGTTCTCGCGAGCCGTCGGCGAAAGCTCCAGAATCGTCTGAAGCAGCTGTTGATTCGATAAAATTATCCACGCGGTTTCGGAGAGTGTTTTCATCCCCGTTATTGACCTCGGGTCAAGAGAAAGACGGTTGTCTTTCCGGCTTGGACGTTCTCGAAGCAGATAATCGAACCACAACTGCGAGGGTCGCAGCTTCTGCCGCGGATAGTGCGACGGATAGTGCGGCGACGGGCGATACTAGCTTCCCTTTCGTTGCAGATCGAAATCGGGGCAGCGGCAGAAAAATGGTTCGCATGTCGTCTCACCCGTGTCTCACCAGGGCTTCGTCGTTCTCCCCTCCGCCTCCTTCCTCCAGCGGATTCCTCATTGATTACAGGACGTGCCGTCGCGTTGATCATGACAGCAACAGCACGACTAGCCCTGTCGGTGACTGGGAGGCGCCCGAGGCGCGAGCAGGGCCCAGCTCTTCCGTCGCTGCACCAATCGACGACGAGGATTCGTATTATGCGAGCGGAGATCCGTTCTTCTCAAGCCCCTTGCCGTTACCTGCACGAGTGAGCGCCGGCACTGACTCGCATCAGCAGCAGCATGAAAAGCAAGGAGGGAGAGGCGACGGCGGCGTACTAGGAAGGACCGGCGTCTACTTAGGTCACTTCCTCCCGCGGTGCCGATCCGATGAGACCCCCTCCCCCTTCGGAAGCTTCCATTCCGCCGTGGGACGCGGCGGGAGTTACGGGCAGAGCCGAGGCGAGTCGATTGAGTCTCCTGACGGTTCGTTTGCAGGGCTTTCAGTTTCAGACGAGGGTTGCGGCGAGGGTTGTTTCGGAGTCACATCAAGCGAGGTTTCTGAGGGGGAGGGTCATCTGAGGGAGGGTCATCTGAGGGAGGGTCATTCAAGGGAGGGCGTATTTGACAGTGGCAGCGGGGGGAAGGGAGGCCGGCGCGGTGAAGTGGAGCTGATTCGCGCGTCAACGGACGGGGTAGTGCAGGTTCGGAGAGCGCGGAAATTTACCATGGCGTTTATGGGTTCCGGTATGTTCCACGGGCGGGGAAAGGTGCGGCGGTCGGGCAGGACTGAAAAGAAAGGTTCGGGCAGGGAGAATGATTTTGAATTGAATGGCAGTGATGGAGGGCGACAAGGAGGAGAGGTGGGGGTATTAGGGACTGAGGGGGAGGGAATGGGGATGGGAGAGATTGTGGTGGCTCCGTCGAGGGGGAAAGGCGGTAGAGGCATTGGGAGTTTGTTCAGCAGCAGCAGGCGATCACGGGCTGTAGGATCCTTAGCAGGCGCAGCAGGAGCAGTGTCGCCTGTGGAAGAAGCTCAAACGCAAGCGACGGAAGCACAAGCAGCGGCAGCGGCAGTGGAAGCGGCGGCAGCGGCGACAGCAGCGGTTAGGGCGAGGAGCAGGAGAAGATGGTCCGATGGTGGCCGAAGCTGCGATCTCGCTGCTGCCTCTGATGCCGACGCGGCTGTTAACACGGCTGGCGCTGCTGACACTGCTGGCTCTGCTGCTGTCGCCACTGCTGACTCTGATGACACTGCTGCTGTTACCTCCGCCACTGCTGATGCCACTTCTTTTGCTGCCTCTGGTGCAGCTGCTGCTGCTGGTCTGAGCGCATCGAGTGGAGTAGAGGGCCCAACGATGCTGGCAGCAGGCCGATCCATCTCCCTGCACGCTGCACCTGCCGCCAGTCCGTCGTCCCTCCCTGTTGGAGAGGCTGCAGGGGGAAAGAGGAGCAAGAAATGGGGCAGGAGGGAGGGGAAAGGAGAACGGGCTTGGGGGGGAGTGGAGAGGGGCGGGAGGGAGGGGAGGGAAGGGAGGGATGCAGGGAGGCGGGAGCGGCGGTGCAAGTGGAGCAGTGACTCTCTTTTTGCCCACCTAGCTTCTGTGGGTGAGGTGGAACGCAGTAGTAGCGTGGAGGAGGAGGAGGAGGAGTCGGATGAGGCAATGTCGCCTTTCCCATCGAGCTCCTGGGAGCAGAGACCTACGCTGAGTGACCCAGCAGTAGCATTGTCATCATCAGCAGCAGCAACATATGGGGGTCATGAATCGCTGGCCCCGATTTTCTCTGGGGAAGTTCTGGATGCAGCAGCTTCAGCAGAAGCATCAGAAGCAGCCTCAGCAGCAGCAGCAGCAGCAGCATCCTTAGGTGATATTAAATCAACGGCTGAGAATGCGAGATCTGGCGAGATTGGGCAGGCTGCAGCACCATCGAGCCGTCGAAACAGATTCGGTCGTCTGGCCTCCCTGAGACCCCTCACCCCGCCCCACCACTCATCCCTCCCTCACCGTTTGCATGGAGCGGGATCAGCCAATGACGGACTGACACCTGTAGCGTTCTCGGCACGGCATGCAAACAGCCAGCCTGCACAGGGCACGACAGCAAGCCAAAGCAGACACGGAGGTACGGGAGCTACCGGAGGTACGGGTGCTACCGGAGCTAAGGCAGGAGAAGTGTCTGCTCAAAGCATGAAGATACAGAGTGTATCCCGGCCAATCACTGCTTTTGAGTCGACCCAGATGCAGAGTGCATCACGGCCTGTCACTCTTCTCCCTCCCGGTTCCTCCTGGCCCCCTATTTCCACCCCCTCATACCCCCCCTCCTCCTCCTCGTCCTCCTCTAAGGACGCTGTTTCTGCTTCTGCTGCCGGTGCTGGTGGTGGTGCCGGCTCGTCTGAAGTTGCTCCTCTGCTGCTGCTACTGCTGCTGACGCTCTCGTTTCTGCTGCTGGGAAGAGTGGCGGCTGTGGTTGGCATCTCGTGTGTGCTGCTGCTAGTAGCACGGGTGGATCGAGGAGGAAGAGGGTGGGGGGGAGAGAGTGAGGGAGGGAGTGGGGAGGCGGGGGTTCGGGAGGGAGAAGGGGCGGAGGGAGGTGGGAGGGTTGGGAGGGGAGTGAGTCGGGAGGAGGAAGAGGAGAGGGCGAGGGAGGAGGAGGAGAGGAGGAGGCGGGAGAGGGTGAGGGAGGAGGCGAGGCAGAGGCGGGTGGCAGCGATTCTGCAGCACAGCCGGGTTTCCGACCCTCGCACACTGTCAGTGATGGAGGGGTTTCTCTCTCGGTCGAACACGGGCTTGGAGAGACGGAGGTGAAGAGTTGACTCTGAAGGAGTCTGCAGCACAGCCGGGTTTCAGACCCACGCACACTGTCAGTGATGGAGGGGCTTCTGTCCCGGTCAAACACGGGGTTGGAGAGGCGAAGATGAAAGAGGGAGAGGGGGGTGGGGACTCGGGAGAGAATTTCCTCTGCAGCACAGCCAGTGTTGGGACCCGCGCACCCACGCACGCTCTCAGTGATGGAGGGGCTGCTTTCTCGGTAGAACGGGCCGCTGGGGAGGCAAAGGTGAGGGAAGAGAAAGGGAGAGAGGATGGGGGGGCTGGTGTTGGGACCCGCGCACGCTGTCAGTGATGTAGGGGCTTCGTTCTCGGTCAAATGGGGCGCTGGAGAGACAATGGTGAGGGGGGAGCGGGTGAGCGGCAGAGGCGGGTGGCAGCGATTCTGCAGCACAGACGGGTTTCGGACCCGCGCACGCTGTCAGTGATGTAGGGGCTTCGTTCTCGGTCAAATGGGGCGCTGGAGAGACGAATATGAAAGGCGCGACTAGCACAGCCAGGCGAGTGGCAATAAAGATTTCGATGTGCACGAAATCAGGGCCAACAATTCTGGCCCTTTGCACGTATTCGAGGGATTTCATCAATAGACATGTGGGAGAGGGAAGTGGTGTTGAGTGCATGTCCCCTGGGCAAATGTCAGAATGTTATTTTTATTCATGCATATCAATTTAGCGTACAAAGCAAGGCAAAAGAAATGCAGCTGGTATGCTGCTTTTTCTTGCAAAGAATGAACTAGAAGCTTGTACTAGCGTCTTGGAACGTCTCTTCAGCAGAGCGGTTGGTGGCGGCAGCAGAGCGGTTGGTGGCGGCAGCAGAGCGGTTGGTGGCGGCAGCAGAGCGGTTGGTGGCGGCAGCAGAGCGGTTGGAGGCGGCAGCAGAGCGGTTGGAGGCGGCAGCAGAGCGGTTGGAGGCGGCAGCAGAGCGGTTGGATGCGGCAGCTGAGTTGTTGGAAGTTCCAGGAGAGCGGTTGGAAGCAGCAGCAGAAATAAATACTCAGCAAGAGCCAAATTTAGGGTAGATGCAACTGCCCCCTGTCAACATCTCCACTAGCCTCTTGGACCATCCAGCACCGGGTAGCAGTGTGGTTGGAGCGCTAAGAGAGCGGTTGGGAGTGGCAGCAGCACCACTGGATACTGTCAGCAAGAGCCAAATTTAGGGGAGTTGCAGCTGCCCCCTGTTGAGGTCTCCACTAGCCTCTTGGACCATCCAGCTCGGGGTAGCAGTGTGGTCGGTGCACTAGCAGACACCGTCGCCCCTTGCTCACCGGAGTACCGGCCCAGGTTCGGATACTGCCGAGCCTGGAACATGCCCGGGCCTGCCTGCAGCGGCTGCTGCTGCTGCTGTTGCTGCTGATGTGGCAGCTGCTGATTCCCTGGCAGGGAGAACGGCATGCCGAGAGAGTGCTGCTGCTGCAGGGCTTGGGCTAGGAGTGCTGAGTCAGCGCCGAGGATAGACGGTGGTGTACCACCAAGCTGCGGCCGGGCGGTATCCTTGAGGAGGAGAGAGACTTGCAGGGCTGTCACTTGTTGCTGCAAGAGCGCACGGGGACAGAGCGGATGGATAACAAAGGAGTTAAGAGTGGTTCGAGGAAGCTGAAGAGCAGGCAGGACAAGTACAGTACATGCATAGCAGTGCGTCCAGCTTGTTCAGAAGCAACAGGAAAGTGCAACAGAAGCAAGGGAGAGTAAGAGCGAGTCAAGGAGAGCAGCCTTGAGCCATGATAGTCTAAGCCTTGAAACCCTGAATGTGAAGTGAATTTACCTTGAGCCCTTCCACATAAGCCACAGCCTCATCAAGCATGGTAGCCGTGTCACCAGTGCCCTTCACGGAATCCCGCAGCCGCTTCAGCCCGTCACTGATTCGCTTGCGCCGTTGGCTCTCCACATGGCTCTTCATCTTGATCTGTCTCTTTTCGGCCTTCACACCCAGCCCGGAATCCGCCGCGCTGCCGCCGCCCACCCGCCGAGAGTTGCCGCCGGGCGCGTGATGATCTTCCGCAAACTGGTCCATGTGGGCGCCTCCCTCCAGCTCATCGGAGCTCTCTCCGTCGCTCCCGTGCCTGTCACCGAGCCTGTCGCCGCCTTCTCCCGAACCCGTGGCTTGCACCACCGCCCCGCCCGCCTCGCCGCCACTCGGAGCGTCGCCCTGCCGCCCGCTCTGCCGAGCCGGAGAATCCTCGCCGGCCGAGGCTCGTGCCGCCCGGTCAGCCCGGTCGCCACCGCTGTTGGACCCACTCCGCCGGCTCGCACCTGCGCCAGCAGCGCCGGCAGCGGCTCTAGCGGCTGTAGCAGGGCCGGCTGTGACTCCTAGCTTGGAGGGTCCGAGCCTGGACGCAGCAGCAGCAGCAGGTGGGCTCCCAAAGAGCCTCTGAGGTTGCCCCACGAGCGAAGCCGAGGGCAGGGCTGGCGTGGTGGTAGCGCCAGGCAGGGACCGGCGTGGTTGCGGCGAGAAGGACTCCCATCCATCCTCCATCTCGTTCTTGAGTTTCTCGCCTCCACCGCCGCCGCCGTCGCAGCCGCTTTCTGAGAAGGCGCTCTCGCCAAAGTTGCTGCTGGAGATGACGTCAGCAGAGGAGTTAAACGGGGAGGTGTTTCCGGTGGTTACTAGCCCGCCAATGTGGCGCGCCGCGAGCGAGTGAGCGTCATATGCGGCTCCACCGCCGGCGGCGCGGAGGGGGAAGGCCGCGGTGCCGAACGGCGTGGTTCCGTTGCTTTGCAGCTGCGAGGTGGCCTGAAGCGGCTGTTGCGCCGTGATCTGCGGCGAGCCAGCCGCCGCTAACGCCATGATGTCGGTCTCGAGGCTTCTGTATGGCGCCGCGCCGCCGTTTACTGCTGATTCAAATACGCGGATGAGGGAGGAAAGAAAAAGATTGAGAGAGATACAAAGAGGAAAAAATGGTAGATACAACGCGGTCCAACCCTAAATTGATAAGTTAGAATTTTAACCCTAATCACGTTTCGGACATTCACCTGGCAACGACGCGATTTCAGAGTTTCCATTGTTGTTGTTGTTCCGCAGTTTTTCCAAAAAGGAAGAAAGCTCCTCCGTGCTGCAGTTCTCAAGAAAGTTTTCCCATTCTGAATCCACGACGAGCGGCGGAGCAGAAGCCATGATGATGACGGGCAGATGATCGTGTCGCAGTTGAGCCGAACCTCGTTGTCAGATAGGTCACAGAAGTTGGAAATCTGATGGCGCGACCAAGTCCCAGTAACCAAAGTTTCAAGGGTACTTGAAGTGGCAGTCTGTAGGTTCTCGCTTCGGAAGGCAAGCTAGATTGTAGTACGGCAATGAGTCCAAGTGAGGGCCAGACAGGTGGTATTATAAACTCAGTTGGAGCAGGTGAGTTGCAGCCATGGGTGAACAGAAGAGCATGAGGTGGGGTTGATTTTGCTTGCGGCGATGGTCATGATGAGTGGGGTGGCGCGCATTCAATCAAGCCTGCTTCGTGCGTGGTTGAGATTGGTCTGGGCTTGGCTCGGATAGAACTCAGGTCGGTTTTGCTCCTAGCAACCGGTTCGGATGAGGGTGACAGGTGTTGCTGGCTCGAGCTAGTGCCCGCACAGCGAAAGGACACAGTAAGTTTCAGACTATTTTTTCACTATGATAGGTCTAGATTTCGTAGTCTTTCACCTTTTTCAAGGCCTGACAAACCATTACCCATTCGAAAACTTTCCTCCAAATTTTTTAATGAGGAGGCAACTATGAGGTTACATTTTTCACATTCTGTCGCATTTCTCGGATACGCAGATGAAGCGCACCCAAGCGTGAAGACCTCCCCACATTTCAGATCGCAGATTGCCGAACAGCCCACCAGGCTAACAATTTTGCCAGCTGCGCAAGAAAAAAACGCACCCACGAACGCTACACTCTATTCGCGATAATTTTACACCCCTTAAGTGTACAACCTAAGGGTACATACCCCGGATCAAACTCTCTTTCAGGGTAGTTCGCTGCGAAGATTGAACAGCTGGTGGGCGTTCCGAAACCCAGTCGCGAATAGACGTAAGCATTAAAAACTTCAGTCGCGCCTACCCAACCCCGTCCTCACTCAAAACACATGGTGTAGTTTCAAGGGAAACTGCATCTCGCTGTCGACTGATAGTCCCTGAGTTTCAGGGTGACCGTCGTATCGAGCCTGAATCGGTATAGGACACCTTCAAAAAAGAGGGTTGGGGGTGTGCAGTTTCGCGAATAGGGTGTACACCCTCGTTCTTACTCATTTCACCGGCGGAAGCACTGGCTACAGTGTTTGGACGTAGCGGGCTGGTGAGATAACTGTGTTGCGGGCAAAGTCGCACGAGGCGAGGAAACAGGACTTGGGCAAACAAAAAACCGTTAACGCTGAATATCCGTCTTAACCGCTTAAAACCAGCAGTAACATTCTAGAACGTATAAAACCTTGACTCAAAGCCTTGGGTCAAATTGTCACTAACGCATGTGATAGGACTTACTTTGGTCCGCTGCGGCTACACTAAGCGTCTGAGTCAGTATAACATATGCCAGTCTATCGAGAATGAGGGTGTATCTGCTTTTGCCAGAATCAAAATCCCCTTCCCAGCTCGGACGAGGTCACCGGCCAGCTGTCGTGCCTTCGCAAACGCGTTGGGCAGTTGACAGGGTGGCCAATCAGAGACCTACAGTTCTGAAGTCGCAAGGTTCTGCCGTTGCGAGGTACGTACGGTCTGATGTGCCGGTTTCGGTTCGGTTCCTTCGCTGGACTTGGGCGGAGTGGCGGAACATGGGAAAGAGACCTGATGGAAAAATACAACGGCGAAGGGGCTCTAGAAGTCAGTTTGATTCTCCTGTTTGGACAGTTTTTTGGAGTTCAAATCACGTGCTACAAGTGTTTCGGCTTATAGTCCGACGGGTTGAGCCGAAGCGCGTGGACTGTATGCCGAAATTTTCAAACCCCAGGCAAAACGCGATATTTATAGTCCCGTTCAGACAATTTACATGAATAGTGGTTTGTTTGCTAAAATGTTTGGTTTTTGGTCTTTTTCTTAAATTTGGACCGCGCTGGCTTCAACTTCTTGTCACACGCTTCCACGCGCTGATCAATTTCGCATGACCAACGGGAAAAAAAAAACAAAATAAACTATGGTTTGGGGGTCGATTAGAAGGTAAAAACTTCTGTTTTACCCTGTAAACGAGATAAACGTGATGTCATCGTCGAGCGCGCTGGAGACCGCGCAACAGGATTGAGAAGTGATCACGGTCAAGAAAAACAATTACTTAGAATTTGGAGGTTAAATGTCGAATCGATGATCCCTTATCTATAATTTTCTCCGGATGTTGGGATGGTTCAATTTGGAGCCTCTGATTGGCTGCGGAGCTGATTCGTGCAATGATTCGGTCAAGCCTCAAAATTTCCCACCAAAGATGGGACTATAGGGGTCGGGACAACCCTAGGCAATATCGGAAAATTCTACTCAAGATGGAAAATGGACTCATCTTGCAATGGCCTGTAACCCGGAACATCTGTACTTTGCTGGGAGTTACTAGACTCGCTTCGCCGCCCTACCAGAAGACAGTAAAGTAAAGTTCTAGGGGAAACCCCCTTTGGTATTACCCCGGCTGTCGGTCGTTCGTAACCCGCCTCCCCATGTGTTTACACGCCTAGCTGGGTAACGAGGTTGATCTATCTACTCCCAGATGAGCACCTGTGTAGTCCCTTTTAGTGGGGACTGGCTGTAAACGCCGCAGGGGGGATTTGATCCCGAGACCTCATCTATCGGAAGTGAACCAGCTAACAGCTGGGCCACTTCAGGATCCCTACCAGAAGACAGG